TGCCCGTGCGCGCAGGGGGCTGCGATCGCGGGGTCCCCCTGCGCGCCGGCCCCGGGTGCGGGTGCCCCCCCCCTCTGTCGCGGGGCCAAAAGGGGCGCGGACCCCCCTCCCCCGGCGCCGGGCCCGGCAGGCGGTACCTTTGCTGTGCTGGTACTCGGCGGCGCTCCCCGCGGCGCAGTCCGGGGTGCAGCTCACCTCGATTTCCTCATAGAAATCCGACTCGGTGTCCGAGCTGCTCTGCTGCCCTTTGGCGGCCAGGGACTCCGGGGCCGCTGGCTGGCCGGTCGAGAGCAGTGCCGCGGCCGCGGAGCGCCCCTCCAGGCCCGTGCCTGCCCCCGGTAGCACCTCTACCTCCTCGTCCTCTCCCGCGGCCCTTTCCCGGGGCGCCAGGGGCGGCCCGGCGCGGGGGCTCAGGCAGCTCCGGTGCATCATCTTGTCCTGCGGGTCCGGAGCGGGGCTTCCCACCGCTTCGGCCAAGCCGGGAACCCTCTTGCCAACCAGCGTGCCCAGCTGCCCTCCTTCCAGGAACATCACCATGTCCTTCCTGCCTTCCATGGTGCGCGGCTGGGAAAGCAGATCCAGCGCCCCCCCGCCACCCCTTTGCCCCGGCCCGGAGCAGCGCCGCAGCCTCCGCCGGTGCCGAGGAGCCAGCGGTGAGCTAGGGTGACCTTGTGATGCGAACACTACACCGCGCAGCGCTAGCTCTGGGAGGGATCACCATGGCCCTCTTCTTTCTAAGCTGTCATCCTTAATGGTGCAATCGTCATTACAGTACCACTGGTGACGCCACGCCGCGATTGCTGGGGGATAAATAGCCCCGGCTGCCACGGGCAAGATGAAAGGAAGAGCCGGCGCTAAATGGCTCCCGGGGATGCACCAGGTGTGAGGAGCTGGGGCTGGGGAGTGGGAGCTGGAATGCAACCGAGGAGCCGGGCGAGCGGGGCGAGGTGCAGACCCTTGCCCGGGAGGTCCGCAGCGGCGCTGGCGGAGAGAGGAGACACGGATCCGCTCCTCGAAGAGAAGGGCTCACGTTCGTACCTGCCCGGCATTAGCCTCGGGTATCCGCTCGCTTCCCGGGCAGCGCGTTGTCATTGCTCTCGAGCCACCCTGGTTCAGTGCTTGCTTTCCCTTCCAGCCTCGGCGGTACCAGAACCACCGCGTTTTGAAACTTCAGATCATTTTGTTCCTAATCGTAGCTAGCCTAGTGGGCTCCTGCTGTACCATGTCCTGGTCCAATATGTTTATCTCGGTTCATTTTGCGGGGTTGGCGCTGGGTTGCGAAGGCTTCCCACCCCCCACCTCGGCGTCAGACCCATTTGCTTAACACTCTTGACTTTTGCAGGAAGAAAAACCCGCTGGAAGACCCAGTGCCAAGAGCCGGGCAGGCTCAGCAAAACAGAAGTTATGAAATCCACTTCTTATGCAAAACAGCAGATGTCGTAAACAATAAGTGACAAGGACAACCATTTGTACCGTGCTTATCTAAAATAAGGGGCCCTATAAAAATACAATCAATCCAGTAGCATATGTAGTCTGTGTTTTGATATTTATAACGAGCATGGGAAGCATCTCATCTCTTTTTTAATGTTTACTCACACATGGAGAGGAAAGTAATTTTCACCATCTGTTGTAACGAGATTGTCCTATACTCTCAAAGAGAGTTATTGGCTAGTCGGGTTACAGAAAACGTTCAACCAATTAGGTTTCCAATCTGGGAAGGAATTTACTGGCATATTTGAGGTGACGTTGTTTTGGAAGGGCACAAACCTCCGAAACAGAAGGAGAGGAGCACTTTACATGTTTTCTTTACAGCCACGTGACGAAGACTTCGAAAGATGATCACGGGCAAAAAGAAACCAGGATTTACCGTCTTGTCAGGAAATCGATTAAACTAGAATGCTTCCAAACAGAGGCATATTATTTTATGGCAAATAAAATAGCTGCTTTGATGGGGCGACAGTGACACAACCACCCTCCGAGCTCCTAAGCATTATCCTCATTTGCGAAATTCACCAGCCACGTCCGAGCCACAGCACTGTAGTCTGAATACTCTCCGAGCCTGTGGGATCTTGTCACTAAAAATGTCATGTTTTGTTATCTTCCTTCAGATTTTTAGCCTCAGCTCCTAGACCCGAGCCCCTCCTCATCCTGGACGAGGAATCGCAGTTCAACCCCAGTGGGAAGTGGAACCCTCTCTTCTCCAGTAATGTGACCTACACACTACAGCATTCTGGTGGTTGGGATTTTCTTGCCTCTTTTCTTTCAGCTGTTTGCAGAAGGGGACCATCTGGAAAGTGAGGGCAGGGGATCTCAGCTGGGGAGCGCAGAGGCAGTGGAGACGGAAGTTTATGAATGATCTAGTCCCCTAGCCGATTAAAAAAGCAACCAATGAATTGTGAAGGGAGAAAGACCCGTGGCTGACACAACTCCAGCCTGCCTCCTTCCAAACCGGGTGAAAGCGAGTTACCGCTGGCTCTTCTCGCAGAGCCGAGGCCGGGGGCAGAGTGGAGCTGGGGTTCAAGCGGCTTGAACAAACTGACTCTAAGCAAGGCAGCTCAGGATCTGGGGGCGGGAGGGGAGGAGGGAGGGAATGGGTCATGGCTGGGAAGTCCTTGGCAAACTGACTGGCCAATGGAGAGTTGCTTTGAGTCTCCCGAGCTGATTGCTTAGCCTTCCTCGGGGCGACACCAAGCTGCCCCACTTGCCAGACAGAGGTTCAAGTCCAAGGCAGTTAACTCAAACAGGTAACCGCATTGGAGTGTGTGCATGTTTGTGCCCGGGGGAAAGAG